TGGAATGAAGAAATTTATATAGGAGAGCCCGGAAGGATTGCAAAGAAAGGGTAAAGAACATTTAGCTTTTGCAAATTAAAGACCAAAATCCATAATTGGCCTTAAACCAAGCTTCTAGGCAATGGTATTTAAGGTTAATGATCATTACCTCTTTCGATTTAAGAAAATCACGTTGATCAGTGGCATATATCTGAGGTAGTGGGAGCAAGTTCATTATGTTGGTGCTATATTGGATGACATTTTTGTTAGCTAGTAATGACCTTGGCTTATTTGCATGAAACCAAGGAATATCTCTCCAAAGAACTTTAAAAATGATCGATATGGATGAGGCAAACTATGTTATTGGCATAGAGATCTTTAGGGATCGATCTCGAGGATTACTAGGACTATCTCAAAAAGGATATATTGATCGTGTTTTTGGAGAGATTCAATATGCAGTTTTGTTCAGCCGGTGATGCACCCATCATGAAGGGTGATAAATTAAGTGAAAAACAGTGTCCAGAATGAAACTTGGAAAGAAAACAAATGGGACAATTCCATATGCCTCAAGCTGTAGGGAGCTTGATGTATGCCCATACATGTACCAGGCCAGATATTAGTTTTGCAGTTGGAATGTTGGGAAGATTCCAAAGTAATCCTGGAATGGAACATTGGAAAGCAGTAAAGAAAGTTATGAGATATCTTTAGGGAACAAAGGATTATATGCTCACCTATAGGAGATCAGAACAGTTGGAAGTTATCGGATACTCAGACTCAGATTTTGCTGGTTGCCTTGATAGTAGAAAATCTAACATCGGGTTTTGTTTTTCTACTAGCAGTGTAGCAATTTCATGGAAGAGTGTGAAGCAGTCCACTATTGCTTCATCTACTATGGAGGCTGAGTTTGTGGCTGCTTTAAGCTACAAATCATGCTTTATGGTTGCGAAATTCATCTTAGGACTTGGTGTTGTTTGACTCAATTGCAGGCCACTGAAGATATATTGTGACAATACCGCAACAGTTTCTTCTCTAAGAATGGAAAGTACTCCAGTGGTTCCAAACACATGGAAGTAAAGTACTTTGGTTGTTAGAGAGAGAGTCCAGAAACAACAAGTGGTTAATTGAAACTTAAGCACTCTTCTTATGATTGCTGATCCATTCATGAAGGATTGCTAACCAAAGACCATACAAAGAGCATGTTATCAGGATGGGTCTTTTAAGCACCCTTGATGTGTATGGTTAATCATGAGTGCTTATTTTTTTGACACTATTTGCGCATAATAATTTTGTTTCTGTTCCTGTTTCTAAAAGTGTGTGTACCACATTATTTTGAATATTGATAAACAGGAATGTCTTCACAAGACAAATTACAGGGGCCTTTCCAGGCAAATATTATTATATCCCAATAAAGGACTGGGTTGGTGAAGGTTATCAATGGTGTGGGTGCAATAGAAGGAAATATGACATAAATGTTATATAACCGCTATGAACTCACATTGGTGATCTGATGTAATCACAGTATTATAGTTTCTAATATATCTGAACTTATTGGCTATTTTTTAAAATTCGTGATCACATGTCCAAAGTTTTTTAGTGTGGAATCCAATGAGTTCAAAATTTTTTAAGTTGCATATTTAAAAAAAAAAAAAAAAAAAAAAAAAAAAAAAAAAAAAAAAAAACCTCATAATTGCATCATGATCGGCTTAATGGGCCAAGTGGGAGATATTAGACTTTATTTTTCTAGTGTGGCCCAATACCTACATATTTTCCTACATGTTTTAATTTATTTGGAACTCCACAAATAGATAAAGCCAATATTTGAGATCAAGTTCAGTAAATAGAATTTTAATATAATCATCTTCTAAGATAAGAAGGAAACCTTGATGGATTAGGAATTCTTCTGATAGAGTTTATATCTGGCCCTCTTCTCTCCCTCATATAAGGATGGGTGACTCCCCTTTCATATATATAGTATTTTTCTATCACTTTAAGTTTTATAGTCATCCTAATTAAGAGAGACAGAGAGAGAAGGTGAGCCAAAATTAAAGGTTCAGCTCTTAAGGGGTATTTCCTCAACTTCTCTAATTCAATGGCTGACAAAGGTATTCTCGTTTTAATTCTTGAGTTGTATTGAATTCAAGATCCTGTAAAGTTTAATTCCGCATTATTTATTATGGTTACATGTATTATTAAATCTTACAACCCAACTTGGATGTTTGCTGTTACACCCATTTCTTATGCCATTCTCAATATCACACCGTTTTGAGCTTAAGAATACTAGTTACTTCAACTTCAACTAAAATACAAATTCCCATATGAAAACATTACTACTTGGATGGAAAAGAAGAGTTAGAGGATTGTAAGATGAGTTTGCTTGAAAAATTATTGTACAAAGCTGCTTTCTTTGGCATATCATGTGGGATATGATTCAAAGAAAGGTTGTTTAATATTGTCCTGAAGTATTGTTGCTTATAAATAATGATGGAGCAGTTGATAACATTACTGTATTCTTAAAGTGCACAAATCAAACAGATTCTACTCAAAAGAAATCAACGCTGTCCAAAATTATATTGGGATCAGTCTTGGAGCTTTCTTGGCATATTTTATGGTTGCCTTCTGTTTTTTCCTTTTCACAAACAAACAAGAATCCGAAGAATTTGATGAGTTCTTTGTTGATCAAGTACTAGAGATGTTCTACTAGATTCTCTCTACGAAGAGTTGAAAGCCATGACAAGCAATTTCGATAAAAAGCTTGGAGAAAAAGGATTTGGGTCATTGTTTCAAGGGACATTAATTGATGGCACTAACATAGCAGTGAAGTGTCTCAATGGTTTTTGGTCAAGTTAAAGTCATTCTTAGCTGAAGTTGAGACAATAGACAACATTTACCATGTCAATTTGGTGAGATTAATTGGATTTTGTGTTGAAAATCATATCGGCTTCTAGTTTACGTTACATATCCAATGGATCCTTGGATGCATGGATCTTCCAAAGGAACCAAGAGCAGAAGGAAATCATCATGGATATAGCCAAAGGACTAACCTATCTCCATGAGGAATGTTGGAAAAAAGATATTTCACTTGGATATCAAACCCCAAAACATCCTCTTTAGATGAAGACTTCAAACGCCAAAATTTCTGATTTTGGATTATCAAAACTAATTGATAAGGACAAAGCCAAGTTGTAACAATGATGAGGGAACACCAAGCTAATTTGGCTCCCGAATGGTTGAGCTCAATTATCACCGAGAAGTAAGATGTTATAGCTTTGGTGTCGTAGTCTTGGAAATGTTGTGTGGGCGCAAAAAATTTTGGATAGGTCTCAACCTGAAAAAGAATATGCATCTACTAGATCTGTTTAAGATGAAAGCAGAAATATGAACGAATTTCTCGATA